AAGGAAGTTTGGTTTTGGTGTAATTTGGTTGATCAGTGCCATGACTTAATTGCAACCTTGGAAGATGATGTGAGCAAAGCCTGGTGTTGAAACCTCTTTAAATATTTCAACAGATTGTCATCAGGAAATGATGCCATCATCAAGATACTTCCTCACTTAAATTTTAAGCTCAAAACATTGGCAGAGGTGAGTCTATATGAAATTATTGGTCTGGGTTAGTTGTGTTAGGTTTCACTAAGCAAAATATTTAAGAGGTTTAATTTTTATGATGAACCCACTTCTGAAGGAGAAAGAACATTCAATTTCCCAACAAATTAGAAAAGCCAAAAGTGAACTTATAACGTAATTCATATATAGAGAACCTATTAGAATTCTACAGGTGCTTTTGTTGATGTCTAACTAATTAACTCATTGAATTTCTCTCTGTCTGCGATTTCTCAATGGATAAGTTATAGAAGGGAAAAGGATACTTAAACTTCTTGAGGATCTACTGTGTTGACCACAGACAATTCAGTACATTCTTTGTTTTCAGATGGCTTATGAAATTGTAGAGAAAAAGTAAGATGAGGGTCAGACAAATAATTTGTCTTGGGATCAGTATATTATTTAGCAAAATAAATTGAAAACTGTCTATATATATATATATATATATATATATATATATAGTCCAGCCTAATAAGGTCTTTATAAATGATCCATGAATTTTAGAAATATTTTTCCTAGAATGTTCAAGGGGAAGACCACGTTTAGACATAGACATTAAGCACAACCTTATGTAATTATATAAAAAGGATAATTTTAAATTACCTTTTAACTTAAGTTCATATATAATAAAAATTGTTGCTGAGCATCAATGAAAATAGACCCAAGGCAAAACAATAGTGTTTTTTATCTATACATCTCCATTTCCCTAGAGAATAGAATCCTGAATTTATCAAATACCTATTCTTGAGAATTTTCTATTTAGGAAGCAAATTATATATATAAGTAACTATCACCAATACATCTTTATGATACTTTAGGCTGTAATCAGAGTAGCAGTGAACCTAAAAGCACATAAGGTCTTCTTTCAACACGATTGAGTCATGGAATATATCAACATTGAACAGACTCTGTGTCCAGAGATTCCCATTGGAAAGATCCCCTTTGGCAAGTCTGCTGGTTAGTCTCTTCTCTACGTTTAATCTTAGGTTAAACAAAGAAATGAAGTAAGGACTCTGAAACAATAATTATTATTTTCACAGTGCTTTCCAGAAATGTAACTTTGGAAATTCTGTGATGGCTAATCTCACACAGAACTAAATCTAACTTATCACTCCTTCCTTCACAAATATCCCTACCCCTTCTTATTACTGTTGTTCTCATAAACTTGCTATAGTTTCTCCTTTCTCCTCACTGTAAGTAGAATATTCACTAACCATTTGTTCCAATGTAACATTGATATAGTAGGTATTGAAAGTTTCTAATCCAATTAGCTCTTTATGCATTAATTTTCTATACAGCATCAAATTATGTTTTTATTTTTCTTGTTTTCTTATGTGTAAGTGTGTGTGTGTGTGTGTGTGTGTGTGTGTGTGTGTGTGTGTGCATGAGCGGATCCTGTGGCTTAAACTAGAACTTGGATGCTATCTCTAAAGTTTGTTCCTCAAGGCTGGCACTCTACCACTTTAGCCAGAGCTCCACTTCTGGCTTTTTGATGGTCAATATAGATTAGAGTAGATTAGAGTTTCATGAAATTTCCTTCTCAGGCTGGTCAAACCATATCCTCAAATCCAACACTCCTGAGTGGCTAGGATTACAGGTGTGAACCACTGCTACTCAGCTCTTTTATCAGTTTTATATAATTAATTTGGACTATAGATTTCAGAATTTGTAGATTGGGGTTACAGATTGCACTGCATTTACATGTAATGCACAACCGTGTTCACTGTTCACTGTTGTACTAGTCATCTTAGCCAAGATATTGAAAGAGACCTTTGATGTTCAAATGAATCAAAAATCATGACACACACACACACACACACACACACACACACACAAATACACACACAGTGGACTTTTACTCATCAACTGGAAAGAATGACTTATCAGTTACAAAGAAAATTGAATGGACTTGGAAAAAATTGTATTAAGTGAAGTAAGTCAGGACCAGAGAAACAAATCACATATTTTCTCTCATATGTGAAAACATAATAGAGTTTAATAGCATTGAAAACCCACTAATCCAAGATAATCCAAAATAACCCCCAATGACAGGCCATAGTATCAAGTGTTCTTTGATCATTTTTATTATCTGTAAGTAGTTTTACAAAGGAGATGGCTTTTAAACAACCCAGTAAATAAATACAATACATCTTGGTCACGGTCACTACCTACAACATCCTCACTCCGTCCATTTTTACTAACTTTATTTTCTTAATTTTGTGGTATATATAATGAATTGTTGACCAGATTCTCTTCCCCTCTTCCTTTTCATTAGTCTACCCTCTGTTCCCTTGGCACTACCCTTCCTCTTGCAAGTACCCATTTTCTGATGCTTATTTTGTTGGTTTTCAACCTAGTCTTTCTAAAGAATTATATTTCAGCTCTCCATAGAGTTTACTATACTTCATTTAATTCATCTGTAACCACTGCATACCACCCAGAGTGTTTATTTATAGATTTATAGGCACATTCTAGCTACCACAAATGAGGGAAACCATGCAATCTTAGTTTCTTTGCATCTGGCTTATTTCCCCTCATATAATTTTCCCCAAGTCTTCCCATTTCCTTATGGATAGTACAAATCAAAGAAAGTCTCAATAAATGGGATCTAAGCAAACTGAAAAAGATTCTACATATCAAAGGACATAGCTAATACGCTAAAAAGAAATCCTACACAATGGGATAATTTTTACCAGCTATACTTCAGAGAAGTCACTAATATCCAGCATATACTTAGAGCTCAAAACTTGAACCCCCAAAGAAACACAACCCAATTTATGAATAAGTTAAAGACATAAAGACAGACTTCTCAGGAAAAGAAGTGAAAATGACCATAGAAGAAAAAAATGCTTGACATCTCTGGTCATAAAGGAAATACAAATCAAAACAACATAGATTCAACCTCACCCCAGTTAGAATGTCATTATTAAGGAAGCAAACAATAACAAATGCTCATAAGGATGCAACCAAAGGGGAACTCTAATACACTGTGGTGGAAATATAAACTTTTCAACCTCTCTATAAAGTAGTATGGGGGTTTCACTAAATAAATAAATAGATAGATAGATAACCATAGAACTACCCTATGCAATTCCACACTTGGAACTTACCAAAAAGATTACAAGCCAGGATACAGTAAGGTCACCAGTACAACCATGTTTGTCGCAGCACTATTTACTTATAGCCAAGTTACGGAATCAGCCCAGATGCCCCTCAATGGAGGAATGGATCAAGAAAATGTGTTAAATCAGACACAATTTAATTTTACTCATCTATTATGAAAAATGATTGTCGCAATTGGCAGGTGTTCTTTTAGCTGAAGAGCTCATGCATATAAAGCAGGGAATCTCAAACTGAAATAAGGGAATGTGGCCACCCATTTTTAGAAATATAAAAGCTCATAAATCACTCAGGTTTGGAAGATTAAATGAAGGAATTGATGTATAGGGTAGTGATGAAATAGAAGGGGAGATTTAAAATTTCCAATCCAAAACATGAGCAAGGAATAACAAAATAGCTAAAATGAAATTTTGTCCCTTTCCTTCTTTTTCTTTACTCTAAATGATAACAACTTATTGTTCTCATTTCACTTATGTGACATACCTAAAGAGTATAAGTACAAATATTAATCAGCCAGAAATCAAGAATATGCTAGTACCTTACTTTCCTTCTAGTCTAACAGCTTTAAAAATGCTTCATGTTCCACCCTATCACATAGGAACAGCAAACTTCAGGGAAAAAGATGAAACAGCATCCCATTGCATTCATGTGTGTACTATCCAGGTCCATGGTTTGGATCCAGGCATGATAGTGTGTTAAGAATGCTAGATAAGAATATTGAATCAAATGAGGTCCAGACAAATGTGAAGGATTGCCCAAGTATAATAAAATGTGGCATATTGAAGTTAGGAAACATATTTTAGAAGACACAGTCTCAAAATTTGAAATTGGCTTTAACTTTTATTTTCAGATATGTAAATGGTGTATCAAAGAAATTCTCAGTGTCAGGAAAATGACATTAATGCTTAAACTTTTATAATTTGTGTTTTTGAAGTATTCTAATAATTGAAGTAATGTGAAGAAAAGTGCACATCATTAGAAAGACTCTTGTTTTCTACAGCAAGAATATGGGAGTGTCTATATATTTGCATATGGTATAATCACCACATGCATTTTAAATTTAAATTATAACATACTCATTACCTAACTTATGAAATGGTAACTCCTCTGTACAACACCTTAATAATAACAATAAAATCATATTTCCAAAAAGAATTTCCTAATTTTAATAAAAGAAAGAAGGTATGTGATAATAAATCAAGCTATTAGACTTTTGTATGACATCAAATAGCACCAGTTGTAAGTAAATACGCTGAACAAGAATGTAAAACCCTGTGTTCAAGCCCCAGTTCTAGAACAATATGTGAATAAATAAATAAATAGATTGACACTGTGAAATTTAGGAAAGTTGCCCCCATCAGTTTATATTTGTTATTAAGACCGATAGGGCCAGGTTCCCTGAGTTCCTTAGTAAGTAAAGTCTGATCTTACATATTCATATTTTCTGCCCATGATTTTATATTTTACAACCAGAAACACATCTCAAACATGCTGGAATAGTACCAGGCAAAAGTGGCAAAAAAATACAGTCCATATTTTGTCAATGCATGAAAGCTAACATGTGCCCAAAAGAAAATAATTCATTCTGATGAAGCCTTAACAAACACAATTCCTCTTTGATGTTTTGTGAAGTTTGTTTTCATGTTTCTTTCAAGGAAGTAATGGATTATATCTTCATGGAGACATGGAATCAAACTTCAAGTGACTTTATTCTTTTGGGGTTATTGTCACCAAATCAAACTGGATTAATTCTTATGCTCCTGATCATCTTTGTGTTCTTTGTTGCCTTATTTGGTAACTCAGCCATGATCCACCTGATACGTGTGGATCCCCGGCTCCACACCCCCATGTACTTTCTCCTCAGCCAGCTTTCTCTCATGGACCTGATATCCATTTCAACCACTGTACCCAAAATGGCGTTCAACTTCCTCTTTGGACAGAAGACTATCTCCTTCCTCGGATGTGGAGTGCAAATCTTCTTCTTTGCGACCATGGCATGTTCTGAAGGCTTACTCCTGGCTTCAATGGCCTATGATCGTTTTGTGGCCATCTGCCACCCCCTCCACTACCCCATCCGCATGAGTAAAATTACGTGCCTGAAGATGATCATAGGATCTTGGATACTCGGCTCTATCAACTCGGTGACACACACAGTCTATGCTCTGCACATTCCTTACTGTAGGTCTAGGGCCATTAATCATTTCCTGTGTGATATCCCAGCCATGTTACCACTGGCTTGTATGGACACTTGGGTCTATGAGTACGTAATTTTTGTGAGTACCTGCCTATTTCTCCTCTTTCCTTTCCTCGGGATCACTGCTTCTTATGGTCGGGTCCTTTTTGCTGTCTCCCATATGCGCTCAGTAGAGGGAAGAAAGAAAGCTTTCGCCACCTGTTCAACACATTTAACTGTGGTGACATTTTATTATGCACCTTTTTTCTACACTTATTTTCAGCCTTCTAATGTCCGCTCCCCCACAGGAGATAAGATCCTGGCTGTCTTCTATACCATCCTCACTCCCATGCTCAACCCCATTATCTACAGCCTGAGGAACAAGGAAGTCCTAGGGGCCATGGAAAGAGTGTTTGGGGTGTTCAAGAAAAATTGATCGTTCTGTCCCAGTTCCTCCTTATTTCCCGTCTTCATGATGACTTTAGCACTAGCAAACTCTGCTTCTTCATGGAAATATACTATTGGCAATATATGTATCAAGAATTTTTAGTCATGCATTTGAAAGTAAAAGTAAATACTATACGAATTGTTGGATGATATATCTCCTATGTATTTATATAGTTAATTAAATCATTACAAGCAATATTAGAATTAACATTAGTAACATGTTGACAATACATCATATTATACATATAGTAATATACATATAATTAATAAACATATTGCTGTGAGTGTGGCCAAATTTTTGATGATATTGAAATAATTTCTCATTAATCGACATCAAATTCTTACTGTACTTATATACACTTCTTTCATTATATCATTGACTTGCATACATTGCATAAATTATGTTAATCATATATTGGATTGCATATATCTTATATCCCCAATATTTGCAAAGAATCAGTTTACTTTGAAAAACCACATTATGATTAAGCTTAGGATATTTGGAATGACTATTGTCAAAATAATAATGTATGTCAAAGGATAGTGTGGCTAGAGAAAAAAAGAAACACATACTGTAGCTGCAAGTATACAACATTGAGAATCCACCTCACACCAGTTAGAATGGCTATAATCAAGAACTCTAATAACAACAGATGCTGGAGGGGATGTAGACAGAAGGGAACCTTACTACATTGTTGGTGGGAGTGTAAACTTGTTCAACCACTTTGGAAAGCAGTATGGAGGTTCCTCAAAAGACTTCATATAGAGCTCCCCTTTGGGGCATTTACCCCAACAAGACCATACTAAAGCTACCAGCACAACTATGTTTATTGCAGCATTATTTACCATAGCTAATATATGGAATCAACCTAGATTCTCCTCTGTAGATGAATGGATCAAGAAAATGTGAGATATCTCTCTATATATCTATATCTATATCTAGACATATTTATATATATATTTATATATATCTATATATAGATATAGATATAGAGATAGATAGAGATAGAGATATAGAGATACACACACACACACACACACAATGGAATTCTATGGCTCCATCAGAAAGAATGTCATCGCCCCATTTGTTAGGAAATGGAAAGACTTGGAAAAAACTATACTAAGTGAAGTAATCCACGCCCAATGAAACAGGTCCTATGGTTTCCCTTACTTGCAATAACTAGTATATGTCTGGGATAAGCAGAAAAGGTCAGAGCTATGTACACATGACCATATAAGATGATGTTAACTGAAATGAGCCCCAATATAGGGACACGAGTGGGTTTTTTCTTTCTTGCTATTCTTTCTAACATATTTATAAGGTACCATGTGATTTTTTTGTTACTTTTCATGTTCCTCCCCCATGGTATAACCCCTGTTTTCACCTTATTTGATGTTGGTGTAATTTGGGGAGGGGAAGGAAAAAAATGTTTAAATAGTGATACAGGTTGCCCCATTGTAACAATAAGATGTACAAGACACTGTTGAACAATGAACTTTACAATTTAGTGGGGGGTAGTTGTGGAAGTGAGAGGGAAGGGATGGTAGGTGAAAAACAAAGGAGGAGGCAACCATGCTTAATAATAGGATGTTAGGTGAAATGAACCCCAAGAGAAGGACTCAGATGGTTTTGCTGTCTTTCTATTGTTTCTAACATATTTATAAGATGATTTCTTTGTTGCTTTGTATGTCCCTCCCCATGATATAACCCCTGTTTGCACTATATTTGATGTTGGTATAATTTGGGGAGGGGAAGGGGAAAAATCGTTTAAATAGGGATATAGGTGGACCCATTGCAACAAGGAGATATACAAGACATTATGTTGAAAAACTAACTTTACAACTTTGGTGCAGGAGTGGGGGTGGGAGACTGGGAGATGGGAAGGGATGGGAAGGGAAAACAAAGGAGGAGGCAACAATGCTTGATAAGAAATATATCCATTACCTTGCTCATGTAACTGTGACCCCTCTGTACAGTATTTTCACAATAAAAAACATAAAAAAATAAAGTAGTACGATCCTGGCCTTAATAAAGAATGTATATTCAAAACAAACACAAACAAACAAACAAACCATACGGCGGTGGCTCATGCCTGTAATCCTAGTTATTCATGATGCTGAGATCTGAAGGATCATGGTTCAAAGCCAGCCCTGGCAGGAAATTCCATAAAACTCTTATCTCAAATAAACCATTCAGAAAACTGGAAGTGACGCTGTGGCTCAGAGTTCAAGTACCATGTCTGACAGAATAATGGATAAAGAGAAAAACATGCAGAATGCCCACCTGGATGCTATTGAGCCAAAAGAAGAATGTATTTTGATCATTAGTGTCTTCATAGATTGACCAACAAGGTGATATGTTAAATGAAGTAACCCAGACATAGACAAATATCACAGATAATACTATATGTGGAATCTAACACTAATCTCTTAAAAGTTGATAGTAGACTATTGGCCACTGGAATTTGGTGAAAATAGAGTGCAAGAAAAGTTGTCAAACTATCATGTTATATTTGGATAAGAGAAAAAATTGCTGTGTTATGGCACAATGGGGTAAACATAGATGAGAGTGTATTGTGTATCTCAACATATCTGGAAGAAAATTTTGAATGTACCCATTCTAAAAATATAAACATTTCATAAAAACAATAATGTCTAATGACTTACAAGGCCATAAAAATATGATCTGTATTCATTGTTACATTCAAAATGCTAAACTTATTTTATTACCTTTATGAAAATATTTGTACTTAATCTATTTGCATAAATATTTCTGAGTAGCTGCTGCATGCAGCCTATAAAATTCAAATAGGAGAATGTCATCCTAAAGTATAAATAGTACCAAGTACTAGATGAAGTTCTTGCACTTATGTTTCTAATATATAAGTTAACAGAAATTTTAGTATTACAGAGACTGGATTGTACAATTCTATAAACTATGATTTCCTGATAGATTCACAAATTTTCAACTATGAATCCATAGAAAACATTAAAAAAATTCAGTATACCTGCAAACTCGCAAACAGTGCCAAGAGTGTTTTGGACCTCTATACACTTAATTCATATACAAATATGAAGTGTATCTGGAAAGTTCTGTGGTACATGTCTTTTAAGTTCTAGTTGGCACCAAACTACTCATTGAAGTATTTTTTTTTTATTTTCTCTGTTCTATCTGCTCTTGATGATGATGTCTCTCATCACATTTTCTCATTCCTGGACTCATAAAGCACAAAGTTACAAATGTTATTGAAATGAAGCCAGGTCTATTTATATTTGTTATCTGATTTTAAATGCAAGACAGTGAAACACCATGATTAGGATGGCAACGTTGACCTAAGTAAAAATTAGTAAGCATGAGTTTTTCTATTTTGTTAATGCATTACATACACTACAGCACTATCATTCTAAGATTTCTTACCAATTGAAGGAGTGTACTTAAACTTCCTGAGACTAAACAGGAGAGACAGAGACAGGAAAGATAGGGATGGAGGGAGGGAGAAAAAGAGAGGGAGGAAGGAGAAAGAAGGAAAAAAAGAAGGAAGGAAGGAAGGAGAACATGAAATGGGGAAATTATGTTAGGTCAAATAGATGGGATGAGAATTGGAATCCAAGTAGCTTAGAATCAGAGCTGAGATATTTTTTGTTAGAACTGTTTATTTAAAAAGGGCTCAACTAAGCCACATTTAACTCTAGAAGATTAAGCCAAGTCACCATTTAGAATCTGCTTCCAGACATTACAAAAATATTCACACCTACACATTTCTGCTCATTCAATTGACCAGCCATCCATGTGAAGGTTGTTGGGAATAGAAAGTGAAGATGTGAATCATGGAGTGGATAAAACATAGGGAAAACGTCTTCTCTTTTGAAGTTTTATTCCAGTCAGTTCTTTGAGCTGGAATTCTTAGAGATTTCTAGCAACATTTCTTACCAGTTTCTTTTGAAATGGAGGTCACCTAGGAAAAGGATTGTTATGTTATGCCCTTGGAGGCAGAGACTTGTAGTATGTTATGTGTAATGACTGATGTTAATACAATTTCAGGAAAATTATGAAAATGAGTTTGAAAAGATAATTTCTGTATACAAAATTGGTCATTGCTTAGATTTAACTTTTACTTAGTCCTATGAGAGATAAACTAGATCCAGATCACTTACTTCATACTCATAACACTTAATTGACTATCAGTATCAGGCTCTTGAATATATATATATTCAATTTTTAATTTTTTCTGGCATTATTTTGATATCTAAGATTTATCTGTGATAGGATACTACACTAAAGAGAATAATACAGCCTCATATTTCACAGACAAGTTAAACAAGATAGTCTTTTACGTATAACCACCAAACTTTGAAAAGCAGTCTTTAGCATTCTTATCAATCAGGAGATGTTGGCAGTTTACTTAAGGAATTTATTTACTCCTCTCCATGGACTACTTATTCTAAGGCATATAGTGAAATACTCTATATTATGTTTGCCACTCTTGTTAAATTTATGAACAAGTGAAATCAATTTTGTTCATGTGAAAACTTGGTTCTTGTATAAGCAACAGACACATGAAGTACATGCTATATAGAGCTGGCACTGTTGATGTCAAGAAGTGACATACTAATTTATCCTGTAGATCTGTCATAGACAGCACTCTAATATGAAGAACAGAGTAGCCAAATAACCCAAAATGGCAACCTTAGCTAAGTGAGGAATGAGGCAGGAGGAGGCAATAAACAAGAGAGGAGCAGAACTCTTATGTAAAAAAGGAACCAGGGTTACCTTTTAAAGCAGTGATATTCGTACTTATATGGTCAGTCCTCTGGAGTAAAATCTGCCTACACATCTGATAGTGAATCGAAAGGAAATCCCAATCATAGTCACATTTCCAAATAATTACACTCAGCTCCCTTATAAACAAGCACTTATTTCACTTAACTTATGGTTTAATTCTGAGAAAATGACCAATAAGTAGTTCCTAAAATCCACAATTGCTTGAT